ATCTTGTTCTATTGGTTTTTTTCTTTTCATTTCCCTAATCTGAGTTCAAATCGTCCCAAAATCCGTTACCAATTCACTGAGAATCTATGTAAAGTTTATAATATTTTGTAAGAATGTCGATGTTATTAGCTACAATACAGAAATGTTTTATTCGCTACGCTTCAGGCTGGAATTGTGTTTGAGACAATGTAATTCAAATTTAAATGCACGTTTATTGAATATAAATAACATCATGGAGAAAATGCCATATAAATATACATAAGGAATGTATATTTTAATTTGTTTTTAAACCACTCCGTTAGGCAAATACTATTAATTTAAAAGAAATGTAAACCCATTTCAAAATTACTCCGGCCCTATAGTGACAGGTAAAGGCTTCATTACGGCTCGTATTATACAAATAATGTCAACCTTTTAAGATCTTTCTCTCCAGTGAGTCCGGCATAGTATTCGAGTATTATCCACATATTTTTGTCTTAGATTTTTTTTTTAATAATGTGCTGATTTATATGTGAACGAATTGCACTAAATTTTGATAAATGACACGTTAACCTACACAAGAATGTAGCAGTTGTGTGACCAATATATATATAATGTTTTTATTTAATTTTATCATATTATATATATTATATATATATATATATATATATATATATATATATATATATATATATACATTTAGAGAGCAAGTATTCATCCAAACAAGTTTGAATACAAAGAACCGATAAGGTCTGTTTAATTTTTATTGATTTTTTGTCAATATTTCGAATAGACAAAATTATATTCAAAAATTAATTAGATAGACAGACGTTGCCGATAGTTTTAATCAAACTTGTTTGAATATATATATATATATATATATATATATATATATATATATATATATATATATATTAGTGAATACAACGGCGAGGCACAAACAGATTTTCATAGTTATACAATCATCAGGTGCTGTTGTGTAACAACATGAAACTTTAAATCGTGCAATCGACGTGGGATATTATGTATTCACTAATATATATATATATATATATATATATATATATATATATATATATATATATATAAATTAATTGATTATATATATGTATATATATATATAATTGATTTATATATATATTAATTGATTATATATATATGTTATAAATTAATTGATTTTTTTCTTTATTTATATATATATATATATATATATATATATATATATATATATATTCAATATATATATAATAGCTCTGCTATATATCATTGAGCACATCTTTTCTAACAACTGAGTAAAAAATATATATGTACGTGCATGTATATATGAGTATACGTATTTTTTACCATACCAATATCTATCTATCTATATATATATATATATATATATATATATATATATATATATATAGAGAGAGAGAGAGAGAGAGAGAGAGAGAGAGAGAGAGAGCGATAACATCGGATAATGAATGAAGCCAACCGCCAGAGGCGACAGTCTGTTTCATGCTTGAATGCAATCTTCAGGCCATATACATGGTGTCTTTGCTCGAGTATTTACAGATACAGGTTAGTGATGCATTGCGTTTAATTGTTTTAACGGTTATTTTCGTGGGCGTTAACGGTTATGTTTCTAAATATTCTAAGAGGCATTGAGTGCAAATAATCATGGAACTTGATGCAGTTTGGGTGCTATTTATAATTTTTTCTTAATATTTTTATTTATTATTGATTATTGTCCTTGATATTATTACGTTTTCTTGTGTTTATGTGTATGTTCGTAGTTCGTTAATTTGTTTATTATTTACTTAATTTATTTACTTATTTATTTGTTTTGGTTAAGTTATTTATTTTAATGTCCACTTTTACATTACATACCACTTTTATATTTACATACGCTCTACCCCTGATATTGAGCACTTTAACTATATTTTATTATTATTATTATTATTATTATTATTATAAGATATAACAAAATCATTTATTAATGCAATTTTCAGTTGACAATATGAATACAATAGCGTTTTCTTAATTCTTCCAGTTGCTAACGAGATTTTGTTTTGTTGTTAATAGTTACTTTGTTTTTAATAAATTCATTTCGTTTTTGCCTTGAAAAAGTCCACATTGAACGAAACGCGTCGGTTAATAATACAGTTTTCCTATTGTCTTTTACCTTTATACATATATATAATACATATATATATATATATATATATATATATATATATATATATATATATATATATATATATAAGTAATTCATCGTGTCTAGAAGAAACCTCAACAGAATGCAGAAAGCACTGGACGGAATGTGCCCCTCCCCAAGAGCCACGACTCTCCCCATCCAGAAAATTAGAAGCCGGCTCAAGGAAAAGGTTCAGGGTAAAGGAACTCGGATGAGTTCCACCATAGAATATATGAGCGAGCGGCGCTATATTGAGTCTACTTCGCTACCTTTTCGTCACCGAGGCCCGTTGGTACACTTGGTATGACGTTTGCATGATAACGTAACTGTCAGAGTTTCAAT